AACAGTAGGAAACAGGCCTTAATAAGGGAGATATGGATAAAAATTGGGTTAGTTTAAGGGAGGGGGGAGGGAAGGGTATACAAGGATCCTAGGGGATAAAGGGAAAGAAGGAGCTCAAGAGAGGCAGGACCATAGGAGAAGGGTATTAGTAAGGGAGAAAGGGGGGAAATGGGGGCACCTTAAGTAGGAAAACAATGATGGAGGGATGAGACAATGCAAAAGATAAATAATGGCTAGCTTGTTTTAAAGAGCAGGGGGAACCACATTACTCCTACAACCTAATGACAAATTATACATAGCAGATCAAGAAATATATGTCTAGGTAAGGTTTATCTGAGAACAACTGGTCTTTACTCAAGATTTATCTACATGATACACAGTAATTAAACATACCAGACTGGTGGAACTAACCTTCTTGGATGTCCAACTGACATACTTTGAGGCCTATAATAATTTGGTCAGAGGGACATAAAGGACAGTTTTTGCTCCTTGCCCTCCTAGGTCGACTAGTTCCAGAGGACTATGAGCATCTCTCAAACTGTCCTGTAATGGTGGTGGGTCACCTCTCTTCTTGATCAAGGAGGGCGAGGAGACCCCATCAGATGGACATGAACCAATGTCCAGTCTATAAAGAGGACAGTCAACACAGAGGAATCATTTCCTCCATGCTTCCAAGTGAAGCCAACCATTTTTGAGCAGGACCTAGGTAGGCTAAGTAGATTCACCAGATGGACAAGTAGTGGCGAAAGGCTGGGGGTGTTGACATCACAGCAGACAGTAGCAGGGATATCAGAGTATAAGGGCTCTAGTAGGGGGAGGGAGGCTATGGGAAGTTGCCATCTGGGAAGTGGGTGTACAGTTGAATAAGAAAGATGGTTTGGTATGTTCTATGTGATATACACACACAAAAAAAAATCAGCAAATTTTAAGAAATGTATTATATTTGAGGAGGAAACATGGAAATTTACGTCATGCTAATTAGTAGAGGTGATAAACATCACCACTGAAATCTACCCGATGACTTTATAGACATACACAGGTGCCAAGGATCTAAGTGCAACCGATTATGACTAGTAATAATCAGATACATACAGATTAGAGATGCATGCACCAACATCTCAGTGTT